AATTACTAAGAATATAATACAGCAAGAACTACAATGATGATCTGGTCTGTAATATTTGTTTTTATCTATTGTGATTCTCCAACCTGGAGCACCAGCTAGCTGCTCCATGAAATAAAACCTGCTGAAAAGTCAGCTATGAGTTGGTTCCAATTCAAAATGCACAAAGCAATAACAGTTGTGGAGAAATCAGTGTGTAGATTTTCTGGTTTTTTCCTCTTTCTTGAAAAATGAAAATCTATGACATTATTAGTTATGTATTAGAAAGATAGGTGTTGGATGAAATTAGGGTATTTTCAGGAGCTTGGGTTCTTTTTTCCCCCAGAGATAAGACAATCTTGATGGAAAAATGAGTTATAAGTTTATTTTACCTAACACAAATCCTTGAGGTTTTTTTCTTTTCCCTCCTCTACTTTCAATTCACTGTTTTCGTACCTATTAAACCTCAGACACATATATATCACCACTTACACTTCCCATTACAGTCTATGATGTTAAATGTCTAACGTCAAATCAATATCATATATTCTGTGTTTGAGAATGATAACTATCAGAAAGCATAAAGTGTTAGACTTAAGTTTAAAAAGACCTGGGTTCTTTGCTTTTGTTTCTCATACAGTAGATGAAAAAACATTATTTTGCTTGATAGGTACAGATATTATAAAGCATTGACAGAAAGAGTTCTGTGATTTCTAAGCTCCTGATTTCTGTAGCAGAGAGAGCAGAGAGTCAATTATCTATTCCTTTCATTAATATTTTCAGGTTCTTGGTTTGTTTTGTTTACAAATTGCTATTCAAATATCTGCCCCTGTATAGTGAATAATGTATGAATATATTTGCTAAATCTAAGCTTTTTTTTTCTTGTCTGATTGACTGTTTCTGCTAATAAAACCAGTTGTACTATTTTTAGCATTTAATTGATTTGTTTATTTAGGATAATTTTTTTCTAAAGTTAGAGATTAATAGGATATTAGAGTTTAGGAAAATGGATTTAATTCTCCTCTTTGGTGTGGTCGATAGGGAGTTGTGCTGCTAACTAAAAGGTCACTCTCCTCTGGTGGTTCAAATCTACTAGTTCCTTTTCAGGAAAAAGATGTGCAATCTTCTCCCATGCTGTCTACAGCCTCAGAGAGTCAATGGAATGTGTTTATCTCAATTCAACAGCAATGAGCTTTTAAAAAAGGTATTCTTATTCCAAATGTACTTTTATTAAAAAGTGCACTTGGATGAGCCATTTCCATAAGTCCTATGTGTTCTCCCCAGTTGTGGGACTCACTTTGGTCAGACCTGGTGGTCAGCTGCCTTTGCGGCAGTGACTCAGCCTGGGACAGTGGTCCAGTTTCCATGTTTACACATGGTTAGAGCAGCAGTCAAGACAGAACTAGACCTCGAGTGCACATAAGACATCCCCAACCCAGGCATCACCTCTGCTGCACAGAGCAATGAGATTTTGAATCTTCTTTTTTAAGATAGACTGAGTCCTTGGAATGACATGTAATTTACCTAAACTTTGTAAATCTGTGACAAGAACAAGCAGAATGGAGACCTCCGAGTCAATGCTATTATTCTATTTGTGGAACATAGTACATTGAGCATCATTCAGACTACTGGAATTCAGACTATCTTAAAGCTTGTGAGTTAGAATGACATCTATTAATTCTTACATATTTTATAGGACAAATATTTTACTTAAGTTTATAATTACCATATCATATGCAAGTAAGATCCTGCTGAGAAATTATTCAAAAATGACTGGAACTGCAAGCACATCAACAGAGGCCTAGGAAAAATAGCATAGCCAATGTTAGATGGATCTTGGCTGAAAGCAGACAGTACCAGAGGAATGTTTATTTGTGTTTCATTGACTATTAAAAGGCATTTGACTATATGGAGCACACCAAACTGTGACTAACTTTGAGAAGAATGAGAATCCTAGAACACTTGATTGTGCTATATGTAACCTATTCTTGGACCAGGAGTCATAACAGGGCAAGGAAACACTGAATGGTTCAAAATCAGGAAAGGTGTACACCAGGTATGTATCTTATCTCCATACTTTTTCAATTTCTATGTGGAACTAATCATCCGAGAAACTTGATGTGGAGGAATGTGGCATCAAGATTGGAGGAAGACTCATCAACAACCTGTGTTATGCAGATGACACAACCTTGCTTGTTGAAACTGAGGAGGACCTGAGGCATTTGCTGCAGAAGTTCAAGGACTGCAGGCTTCAGTATGGTTTGAAGCTCAACATCAAGAAAACAAAGATTCTCACCACTGGTTCAATTGACAACATCATGATAGATGGTGAATAGATTGAGTGTGTTAACAGCTTCAGTTTGGTTGGCTCCCAATGAACACTCTTGGTACTGGCAGCCAGGAAATGAAAAGATAAATTGCATTAGAGAAAATCTGCTGTCAGGTACCTCTCCAGAATATGATGCAAGCCTAGATACTAAGATGTGCCTGATCCAAGCCATGGTCTTCACAACTGATTTCTATGCTTCAGAGAGCTCGACAATGGCTAAGAATGATAGTAGAAGAATTGATGCCTTAGAGTTGTGGTAGAGAAGAGTCTTGACTATACCATGGACTGTTAGGAGAACAAGAAAGGGTAAAACCAGGCTGCTCCTTGGAGGCTAGGATTTTGAAGTTCAATCTCACATGCTTTGGGCTCGTTGCAAGGAGAGATCGGTCTTTGAAGAGGGATATCATGCTCGGAAGGGTGGAGGGACAACACACAAGAAGATAATTCTGGATCAGATGGATTGACTAACTGACTAGGGTAATGGCTTAAGTGTGTCAGAGACAATAAGGTTTGCTCAAGATAGAACAAGATTCCAAACTGTTGGGGCACTATGAGTCACAAGTGACTCAACACACATAACAACTACATGACAAAACCTTGAGAAGAAGAAACAATTGTATCTGCATTGTAAAATTAAGGTGGTTTTTGTTGGTTTTTATGTGCTTTTGAGTCACTTACGACTCATAGCAACCCTATGTACAACAGCCTTAAACTCTGCTCTGTCCTGTGCCAATCGCACTGTCTCCAACACACGCATCCCGATTACCCCAGTCATTGAATCAATCCACCTCACAGAGGGTCTTCCTGTCCTGCGCTGTCCCTTTACCCTCCCAAGCATGATGTCCCTCTCTAAGGACCAGTCTCTCTTTACAACATGTCCAAAGTATGTTAGACATAGCCTCAGAATTCTTGCCTCGAAGGAGCCACCTGGTTTACCCCTTTCCAGGATGAATCTGTTTGTTTTCCTAGCAGTCCATGATACTCTCAATATTCTTCTCCAGCACCACAGCTCAAAGGCATCAATTCTCCTTCTGTCCTCCTTGGTCATTTTCCAACTCTCTAATGCATAACAAGTGATAGCAAAGACCATGGCCTGTATCAGACACACCTTAGAAGAAGTGCAAACTTTTTCTAAGTATAAGTTTGACAAAATTACTAAATTCTGACACTTCAGGAACTTTCTAGACACTAAATCATGTAGTAATGGTGATTAGTGGTGGTGCCTTAGAAAATATACTAGCATATTTTAGGCTTATTAAACTTTTTTTCTGACTTAAAAAAATGTTCGTTTTAAAAATGTGTCACTGAGCTTTTTTAGCTGTCCCCCTCACACTTGAGATCAATTCCTTCCATGTTTCAAGAGGTTACATTTTCTAGAACAGATATCTACAAGTTATTGTGTATCCATTTTTGTTTACTATTTTTATTTATATAATATGGCAATATTAAGCTAAACTCTATACTATGTTTAAAATTAGTAATTTATTTTGCAGTATTGACATCTTTCTTTTATTTGCTTTAGTCTACCTTCAACATTTTTGACAGTGCCAAGTGCTTCTCAAGGGGCATCCAGAAGGATATTATATCCAGACCGATTTCTCTTCTTCACAGACTGTGTCATCCTGGACAGGAAATTCTTCACATATTTTGTTCTTCTTTAGCAACAAACCTGTCCATGAATCATCTGCTTAGAGTCAGGTTGATATTATTCAGCCACTCATATCTGAAAACTAAACTCTTAATAAAACCTTAATAAACATACATGGAAAGATGTGCCTCCATATTTAGCATTTTGTTAAAATCTTTCTGAAAACCATGCACCAATACTAGTTTCTACAGGGACTAAGAAATAGAGGAAGGAAAATGGTTAGTGGAGGGAACAAGCAGTCAAGATTGTGTCTGAAGGATCTAACTTCGAACTGGTAAGGTCTGATGATATCTCCTTCAAAAGTAATCATCATCCCATTTTCTACTAGTAGAACTTTGCCTATCTTTTAGCTTTGTTTTAAATAGCATGTACTCTTCTGTCTCTAACATCTTTTTCGCACCCTTCAACTCTATATGTAACAATCACGCAAACCTCTACACTAAATGGAAATCATAAATCACAAACATTGATTTTGCAGTTCACATTAGACATTTTTATTAGAGTAAATAAAAACAATTAAACCACTGCTATGGAGTCTTTACAAGCTCAGAGTGGCATTCCAATGGGTTTCTAATTCTGTAAATGTTTGAGAGAGGAGACTGCCTGTCATTCCCCTATGAAGCAGTTGGTGTATTTGAATCACTGATCTGTTGGATGTTAGCATAACATATAGAATAAAATATAGCCATTTTAGTTCTGTAGATTCTGAGATTAGATGCCTTTAGTCTTGCAACTTTCTAGATCTGCATTTACATTTGTTATTTAATTTCTCAAACTCTTAAAATTAAACAATTGACTGCAACTGATTTAACTCAATCAGCTCAAAAAAACCAAAACAAAACAAATCTTCCACCAGCTCTCCATTTTCCACATTGTTCAGCATCCTGGTAAGAGCTTATTTGTCTGATTTGGTTGATGATTCCTAATTCTCATAAATGTCTAAAATTACAGACTCATACAAAATAGTAAAAATTAGAATCTCTAAAGTTGAAGTTAATTTAGAAGTCAAACATCTCCTCAGTTGAATGATTCACCTCTCTTTTTTCTCCTCTTTAGGTAACTGAAGGTAAAGACCTTCCAAAGTCAATGAATGATACTAACTATTCCCGGGTGACTGAATTTGTGTTGTTGGGCCTTTCTAATTCTGAAGAGCTCCAACCTTTCCTGTTTGTCATATTTTCTCTACTCTACCTAGCTATCCTGCTGGGCAACTCTCTCATCATTCTCACGGTGACCTCAGATGCTCGTCTTCATAGTCCAATGTATTTTCTCCTTGCAAACCTCTCTTTTATAGATATATGTGTAGCCTCTTTTGCTACCCCAAAAATGATTGCAGACTTATTGGTAGAGCAAAAGACTATTTCCTTTGAAGCCTGTATGGCCCAGATTTTCTTTGTTCATCTCTTTGCTGGAGGTGAAATGGTGCTCCTAGTATCCATGGCCTATGACCGCTATGTTGCTATATGTAAACCTCTACACTACATGACAATCATGAGTCGCCGAGTGTGTATTATTTTGGTCATCATCCCATGGTGCATTGGCCTCATCCACACTCTTAGCCAGCTGGCATTTACTGTTAACTTGCCTTTTTGTGGTCCTAATGAGGTAGACAGTTTCTTCTGTGACCTCCCTCTAGTGACCAAGCTAGCCTGCATCGACACTTACATTATCAGCCTACTAATTGTTGCAGATAGTGGCTTTCTTTCCACAAGCTCCTTCCTTCTCTTGGTGGTCTCCTACACTGTGATACTCATCACGGTGAGGAATCGTTCCTCTGCTAGCATGGCAAAGGCGCGCTCCACCCTGACTGCCCACATCACTGTGGTCACACTGTTCTTTGGACCATGCATTTTCATTTATGTGTGGCCCTTCAGCAGTTATTCAGTGGACAAAGTTCTTGCTGTGTTCTACACAATAATTACCCCCATCTTAAACCCAGTTATCTATACTCTCAGGAACAAAGATATGAAGGCAGCTATGTCAAAACTTAAGAGCCGATATCTGAAGCCTCGCCAGATGGCAACAGTTATAGGAAACACTTTTTCGTTAGAAACAAAATAAAATCAAAACCATTACTGCTTTAGTCTTGTCTCTAGATTTGTGAATGGAATCACTGTGATGTCAAAGCAAACAGTTTTGATCAATGGGAACAACTTATTGCCTTGGATTACAGGGTGACTTGCTTTGACTATAAAAAGTCATAGATTGAATGGTAGGTATTGCATTATCCTTCCCTGCACTATTTTTTGTTTTGCTATGTTCTCTTTTTTCCTATTTGCAAACTTTTGTCCGTTATTTGAAATAAATTTAAAAATATAGGCTTATTGCTTGTGAAAAGTATAAGAAATGACATTGACTTCCAAATAAATAGTAGGGATAGAGTGTATTATGTGTTTAATTCCAAATCAAAACCTTCAAATCCATTAGATGCTCTGAATGAGAAAGATGGACAGTCTCCTTCTTCAAAGAGTTTCAGCTTCAAATACCTGATGGAGGGCCACCGTGAATCTGTTTTGACTCAGTGGCAGTGAGTGGTGGTTCATCCTCAAAAAAATATATTCAGATCCTACTTGAGAAAGATAATGGGTATATTTATTCATATCACAAAGATGAAAGATATATTTATATATGTGATGTGTAATATGTGCTACATTATTCATTATGCATAACATTTCTTTCTACCATTAAGATTATATATGTGTGTATATTTAATATCTCTTTCTTTCTCTCTCCATGTAAAATAGGTGATGCACTATTGCAATATATGATATATCTAGTTAAAGTCCTTATATTATTACTTAGGTATGTTGTTGTTGTTATGTCTCTTCGAGAGTCACCTGCAACACATAGCGGCCCTATACACAACAGCTCTAAACTCTGTCCTATCATGAATTACTCTCTGAAAGATCCAATCCCACTTTTTCAGTCACTGAGTCAATCCATATCATCCTGGGTCTTCTTTTTCTGTGCTGTCCCGCAACCCTTCCAAGCATGCTGTTCTTTTCCAAAGATGGGTCCCTCTTGGACACGTGCCCAAACTAGAGCATGAAGATAATTTTATTCTTAATAGTAATGGTATTAGTGAGTTTGTGATACAAGAACATGGCTATTATGCAAAAAAGAACTTAAAGGCAACATTTTTTCATAGTTCTTATTAAAAATGGCTTATTAAATTTTAATCCTGTATAACACAATTTAATGAATAAACTTACCATGTATTATTTTGTTATGTAATCGTTGTAAACACAGAAAGAACTCTGTGGGCCTAGTGGATAGAAGGTTATGCTACCAAGCCAAAGGTGGGTGATTGTAATCTGTAGCCCTCAGACCTCATTTATCTTGCTTTTGGTCAAGCATTCTTCTAAATGATATAGCACTGGTCTGTCCATTTGCTATACAGAGATAACTCGTGGTTACTGTGATGTTAAACACTGGGATACTAATGTGTCAAATGCAATAATGGTTACCCATGGTGGACAGTGTTTGGTGGAGCTCCCTAATTAAAACAAGCTTGGAAGCAGGAGTGGCATCCACTTCCAAAATAGCTTGCCTACAGAAACTCTATGAACTTGGAGAAACAATGAAAGTTGAACAAGTGCTCAGGTCTTTTGTTCATAGTGTTGCTTTGAGTCATCTACGACTTGATGGCACTTAACTACAAAAACAAGAACAAGTTATTGTTATTGTTATATGTGCCCTCAAGTTGCCTGCGGCCTATAGCAACCTTGTGTACAGCAGCTCTGAACACTTCCCTGTACTCAGCCAGAACACAGCAACCCCCATTTCCCAAGTCACTGTATCAATCCATCTCATCCAGGATCTTCCTCTCCTGAGCTGTCCCATCATGACAGATGGAGAAAAGATTGATATTATCAACATTTTCATTTTACTTGTATACACAATAAATGCCCATGATAGCAGCAGTAAGGAAATTAAAAGACGTATTACACTGGGGAAATCTGCTGTCAGGCATTTGGAAAAGTGCTGATGACCAAGGTGGTTAGTGTAAAGACTAAGGTGCAACTGATCCAAGTAATAGTATTTTCAGTTGCTTTTCATGAATCTGAAAGTTGAACAATTAATAAACATAGTAGAAGAAGAATTGACACTTTTATATTTTGGTATAGGCAGAGAGTACTGTTTATACATATCATGGACTGTGAAAAGAACTTAAGTGTTCGAGGGCTGATCCTTGCTCTAGGCTCAGATGCTACCACCAAAGCCTGGGCGGATCTTTGTTCTAGAAGCTGTGAGCAAGGCCTCAGGCCTTGTGTGGAGCTTTAGCATCAAACTAGCCGAGCCATTGTCTAAGATAATCTGAGATGTTATCCTTTTGTGCCAGCTGTGGGCCTTAGCTGGAAAGATTCTGGCATCCACCCTGGGCTCCACCCTGCATCAGTTGCACTGTAATATTTGTGCGCTTGATTTGCTATTAGAGGTACAACACTCTCCGTTAATATATTGTATTGGGAGAATGATTTGCATATTATTAATTATTGTATGGTGTAGGTGTGTATATGCTAGCTTGTTCAGTTAGCATTTGATCTTAATAGTATGGCATTTGTCTGTCAGTTTGCTGTACTGGTAATTTATGGTTGCTATCATGCTGGACGCTCTGCCACCAGTGTGCCAAATGCCAGAAGGGTCAACTGTCATGGACAGATTTCAGCAGAACTCCCAGATTAAGACAGACCAGGAAGGAAAAAAAAATATGTTTATCTTCTTTTGAAGTAACAAACTTCTAAAAATCCAATGAATATGAACTAACTCAGTCACACAAGGACAAATACTGTATAAAACCATTATTGTAGAATGAGTACGAGGATCCAAGGTGGAAGGGGTGAGAGGGTGGAAATAGAGGGATGAGGAGGTAGGGTGTTAATCAGGGTTGCACAATTCAATGAGTGAGTGAAGGAAATAGGAAGGATCTTTTCTGAAAAACAATGCATTCAAACTTTGTAAATATATCATAGCAATAGAAAAAAAATCCTATGAATAGACAAACCTAGATAGCTATATAGTATTATAGATGGAGCTTAGATGGAAATCAATCAAAATGAGGAGAAACTGCTGCAAACATCCTTTAATAATTGGAACATGGAATATATGTAGTATGAATGTAGGATAACATAAAAAATGAAGTGAAACATGTGAACATTAATATTCTAGATATTAGTGAGATGAGATGATGCATTCATAATTAGTCTGCTAAGATTAGTAGTAGACTAGTTACCAAAAGGCAGACATAAACTGTGTCCAAAATGCTTGACCTACTGTACCACTCCATCATTTCTGACATAAATTGTTCTTCCTTCATTCAGTTCTCCAACTTCTCTATGTCCCTTGGGTTTAGCTGTTCATTGTAAGGTCTCACAATGATTCAGACCTATCAGGGAAATGACTCACACAACTGTGGGTGATGCAGTTCAATGTTTCAGAGTGGTGAGTGATGGTCAAGGAACAGCCAGACACTGTGTCCCAGGAAAGTAAGCATCTAAGAGAGAGCTAGTATTGAGCTCCTAAGAGCTCAATATATCCTATGTACCCAATAGATACCCTATAAGCTCCTATGAGTTCTGATATCCTACCCTCATCCTATCTTCCTAATACAGTAAATACTTCATAACAAAATATACAGTTAATCAATGTCTAGGAAAGATATTTTGAACAAAAAACCTTTGACACCACAAATGCACTGGCATAGACCACTTTGAATCAATCAGATGATATACTGTATGCCAAGAATGAAAAACAAAGGAAGGATGGTGCTGCATTCACGGTTAAAAAGACAATTTCAAATTTTATCCTGAAGTTCAATGTTATAAGTGATAAGATACTATTCATGTGCATATGAGGAAGACTTGTTAATAAGCTTAGACGATAACTAATAATGATAGAAGAACAACTAATGCCTTTAACCAAGTTGTTAGGGAAGAGTACTAAATATTTTGTGGACCGCCAAAAAAATAAGCAAGTCTGTCTGTCTTGAAAAAAATGCAAAGAGGGTGCTCCTTAGAGACAGGGATGCTGAAAAAAAGTCTGGTATAATTTAGTCATGTTGTCAGGAAAAGCTTGGCAACATACATCATGCTGGGAAAAGTGGACGGTCAGAAAAAGAGATGAAGACACACAAAATGACTATAACAGTAGGTTTGAGCGTATGAGAAAACAAGAACAACACGGTATAGGGCAAGGTTCAGATACGCTGTTCCTAGGGTCACTATGAGTCGTAGAGGATGTGATGACAACAATAAAAGCATGTTGTTGTTGTTGTTGTTGTTAGGTGCTGTTGAGTTGACTACAACTCATAGTGACCCTATGGACAAAATATCTGAATCCTGTTTTATCCTGTGCTATTCTCACAATTCCTTACACACAAGAGCCCATTGCAGCAGTCACCATGTCTATCCACCTGGTTGAGGGTCTTCCTCTCCTTTTCCGACCCTCCACTTTTCCCAGCATCATGTCCTTCTCCAAGGAATAACACTTCCTAGTAACATGCCCAAAGTACGTGAGGCAAAGCCTTATCTTTCTTGGCTCCAAAGAACATTCCAGCCACCCCTTCTCCAAGGCATATCTGTTTGTCTCTTGGGCGTCCATGGGATGTTGGTGCTCTTCTCCAATAGCACGGCTCAAAGCTGTCAATTCTTTTTCTGTCATCCTTACTCATTGTCCAGCTCACAGATGCATAGAAAGCAATCAGAAAGACTATGGCTTAAATCAGACACACCTTAGTCCTCAAACTCCTCAATACTTTGGAGCCGTCCCTAACTGCAGATTTTCCCAGTGCAATGTATCTCCTTATTTTCTGACTCCTGGTATCAAGAGTGTTAATTGTGGTTCCAAGCAAGATGAAGCTGTTGACAGTTTCAATCTCCTTTCCATCCATCATGATGTTGCCTATGATTCCGGTGGTAAGAATCTTTGTTTTCTTGACATTGAGATGCAATCTATACAGAAGGCTGCATTGCTTCATCTTCTGCAACAAGGGCTTCAAATCCTCTAACTTTAAACAAGCAAGGTTGTGTCATCTGCACAACACGTACAATCCAATAAAAATG